TTTAGTACTTTGCATGTCATGTTAGTGGTTGGAGTTTTATGTTAAGCATAATGAAATGTTTTTAAATCATTTTGATTCACGAGGAGAAATGATTAGTTTGCATTTTTCAAAGATCACTTCAGTTAAATGTAATATATCAGTTGGAAAGTATATATATATATAGTATATATATATATATGAGAAAAATGACTAGTTATGAAGTTGTTGAGGTCAAGTTATGAAGCTAATGGTCAAGTTAAGAGATGGGTGTTGGCACTGGAGGTAGATAAAATTGAAATGGTTTCAGGACTATATACAGAAAGAATAAATTAGATTTGGTTGCCAAATGAAAGTAAGGTTGAGAAAGGCAGGGTAAAACTACCTCAAGACTATAAATGAAGAGATTAGCTTTGAATAAGAAGTAATTCCTCTTCCATCTAAATGGGTGTTAATTTTAAATGTTGATGGAGGTAATAAAGGTGAAAATGTAGGCCTGTTGGCAGTAACTACTACTATGTTATGTTGTTTCTAATTTTTTAGGGAGGCACAGGGAGGACAGTGTGGCAGTTAAGAGGCTGAAAGTATAAGGACAATAATGAAGAATCACAAACCAATGAAAGTGCTGTTGACATAAATGACACTATTCTCAGGCAATGTTAAGAAAAAAAATAAACTGCATTTTCCAGTGGTGCCAGTTTAACAAGCTAGGTGATTTTCTTCAGGGAATTAGGTTTTAATTTTACCAGGCTGGTGGAACAGAGCAAGAGTATTCTGGGGCTACAGTGATTGAAGTAACATGACTAACCTCTCTGGTTTTTGGCAGGACTGTCTCATGTCTCAGTCTTAGCACAAAAGTCCTGAGTTTCCAGAAACCCCTAGTCTCAACCAAACTGTGACGGTTAATCACCTTTAGTGTTAGAAAAATCTATCATAGCAGGGTGGAGAGATCTAGATGAAATTAAAGGCATAAATGGACTTGAGGACCCAACATGGTAGAGAAAAAATAAGTTAGGACGGCAAAGAAGAGAGAAAGTTGCTAGGAAGTGAGATTTAAAGGGTCTGAATTTAATATTCCTTAGTCCTGCAGTTGCAGGTGTTAAAGTCGAAAGAGGAGGAAACTAAAAAGTGTTATGAAGATAAGCTGTTGGAGATGAGAATGTGAAAGGCCTGAAAAGCAATATTGTTGGATGGGGTTTCTACAATTAGTATTAATAATGCACCTCATGGGACAACATTTTCAATAAAATGGTAGGTACTATGGATGTGTAAGGGTAAACGCATTTATCCTAATGGCATGAGCTCTAAATGGACAAAGTGGATTTTCTTTTTTTATTTTTTCCATTTTAAAAAATGGATCAAGGAATAACAACACAGAAACACTGAGGAAGTGAAGAGAACATTTACCCTAGTTTTGGACACTGATGTGTAGTCAGAGTATGTAAGACAACGAATTCCACCTGGAAGGTAGTCAAGGAAGAAGTCTCCTCAGGATAGGATCAGATTTTGTTAATGTAAGAAATATAAGAAATGTTCATTGAAGAGACTTCATTAATCCTTAAGAAGTGGTTTTTAGAGACAAATAAAAATGTTATTCTACTTGTAACCAGACCATAAATTTTTCCTTAACATTTTTTTCAATGATGGGTGTGTACTAAATTTTGACAGGAGAAATATAACCTATACTGAGCTTTAAGACTTTGTAATGAAAAAAAGACCCTATAATTTTTTCACTTTGTCCTTCAAATTAAAATCAAATCTCATTTCAACTACCATATGAGAAAATGCATTGAGAAAGCAGGTTTACATGGCAGTGTTAAATTATACCCCTAGACGACAGACAAAATAGACTCCCATGGCTAATGGAGATGTTCACAGTTAAAACAGAATCAGGCAGCCATGACTGGGTGAGAGAATGGTCACATACTTTGTGTTCTTGGGAAGCTGTTGTAAAGGTGCTACAGAAATTCCCTTTCAACAGTCAAACCAAACCAGTCCCTATAGTTGGTGCCAAGATAAACTGTGGCTGGACTCCCTCTACCCCTGCCACTACTGAAACTGGTCATTTGAAAGAACGATCTGACAGAGATATCTGGTTTTGAGCTTGGAAACCACCCAATCAGAGCTTGAATATTTTGACCAATCAGAACAGAACAAGTTTGAAACTGCCATTTGCATAAATGTGCCTGAGTGAAAACCTGGGTGAGAATTTTCTCTATTTAAGATAGCTCCTTTCTTTGTTCTTCAGAGAGCACATTTTCATTGTATTGAAGGCTGTGCCCTTCCAATCTGCAGATTTGTTTTTTTTTTAATAGAAAATAAACTCTTCATTTTTCCTCCATAGATCGCTTGGTCTTTTGTTAACAAAGCACCATAAGGTATAAAACATGTGACTGTCCAGGAGATCGAGACCATCCTGGCTAACATGGTGAAACCCTGCCTCTACTAAAATTACAAAAATGTTAGTCGGGCATGGTGGTGGGCGGCTGTAGCGGGACCTGTAGTCTACAGAGCGGAGATCCACCACTGCACTCAAGCCTGGCCTACTGAGCGAGACACCGTCTCAGGAAAAAAAAAAAAAAAAAAAGGAAACAAAAACAAAACATGTGACCGTCGCAAGTCTGATGGTGATATAATTGACAGAATACGAATAGACACAGGTAAAGTATACATCTTACCTCTGTGAACCACAAACATAGCAGTCTCCTAGTCAGAACTATGTTTCCCTGGCCTTTGAATCCTCACAAATTCTGTCAGGTACCAATAGTAATCTCTACTGTTCGGGTATAAGTAAAAAATATTACACTCAGCATGTTCCTGGGTATGCACTATAAGGTTCAGTGCATCAAAAAATCATGTTTTTCCCCTTGCTACCCAGGGTTCAGCCTGCTGGGGGTATCTTACTGCTTAAATTACAAACACATTATTTATTATTATAGAATGAGGATATATTTATCTAGTGAGCTTTAACAAAATAAATGGCAGATGCGGAATATTCTATATATCTTGATTTTAGTTAAATAGGAAGAAATTTTTTAAAATTATGAGTTTTTATTTTGTGATTTAATGTAAGAAAAAATAAATGTAAATTATGCTGATGATATTTGGATATAAAATACTTCTCCAAGTTTCTACTAATAATTTAACCATTTAAAATTCGGCACATAATGTTGAACTTGATAAAAACCTAAATTTTAAATATATGCATTTATTTAAAAATTGAATCTTCAGAAGTTTGGAATTATGCTAATTTGCAAACAAATATTCTGACAAAAAATATTTAATGCTGAAATATTAATGATATATTTGTAGTCTAATAAAATTGCAAATTATTATAAAGAAATGAATTTACTTAGCATATTTGTCCAACATGATTTTTACAAGCCTTCAATGTTTCTATAAATTTTAGAATTAGCATTACAAAGAAATTATAGAAACAATACTCTGTTATGGTCACAGTTACTAAAAACAAACAAAAAACAAAACAATTCTCATTCAGAAACCTTTTGAGATTCTTCCATGTGCAAGACACTGTGAAAGATACTGGACTAACAAAGAATCCAAAGCAGATACATTTTAGTTTTTGAATATTGGGAGTTTATATTCCAGCAAAGCAGACTATATAGAAGTAAATCATAAAATCATATTATGATAAAGGATATGATATAGATATATTAATTAATAGCTAAGAGTGTGGATTGTATGATAGAGGTACAGACATGCATTAGAGAACTGAGCTTAAAGCAAAAGTAGGAGTTAATTACTGAAAAGCACAACTAGCAAAGTGGGAGCAGAGGAATAAAGATAAAAGAATATACGTAAGAAAAGTTGATATAATAAGATGTATCAGTTTCCTAGGGCTGTGATAACCAGGTACTAAAAACTGGATTGTTTAAAACAACAGGAATTTATTCTCTCAATTCTTGAGTCTAAAAGTCTTAAATCAAGGTATCAACATAGTTGGTTATTTCCTAGGGGTCTGAGGGAGAAACTGTCCCACATCTCGCTCTTGGTTTCTAGTGACAGCCCAGGTAACACTTGGCGTTCCTTGGATTGTAGATTCAGCACTCTAATCTCTGCCACCGTTTTCACATGGCTTTATCTTTATGTCTCCATGTCTTCTCATAATGTCACCATTCACACTGGATTAGAGACTCGCCCTACTCCAATATAAAAGACTTATCTTAAATAATTGTATCTGTAACAACTCTATTTTCAAACCAGACTGCACTCTGAGGTCATGAGGGTTAGAACTTTAACCTATGTTTTTTTTTTTGGGGGGACGTCATTAAATAAATAACATAAGGGCTAGCACATATTAAGCAGTAACAAAGCAACGCATATGCATTAAGTATTTTACCCTCAGTATATGGGTATTATATGGCTATGTGGTAGTTAAATGTTATAATCTTAATTTTACAGATTTAAATTTCCTGGTCACAGAGTTAAGCAACATTAAAGCAAATTTAAAAGTCTATATTTTAGACACTATGTTTCCTGCCTCCCAAATAGTTAAATTTAGTTGGATCCATTCATGGCATATATCAACAGAGGAGTTTGTAAAATAAAGAATAACGTAAAAATGGGATGAAATTTGTACTTTACTTGGAGACTATCATAAATTACATTTGTTTCTTATTCATAATCTGATCGATATTTCATTTAAAAAATACTGGTAAACATATGAGCCATAGTAGTTTCAGAAGATATTGAAAGAGAGAGGTATGTTAAAAGCTAGTGAAGTATTACCTAAGAGATCATGAATGCCTGTGATAGTGACAGAAGACAGACAAACTCCTAGGCAAGCAGAGTCAGGAAATCCAATCCTCAAAACAAGGACAGCTTAAAGCCTGCAATCCAAGCTGCCAGTTCCAGATAGAGGCCACGGCTGCAGTGAGAACTATCCCTTGTCCCACCCACTCTCTCTCAATTGGTTCCTTCTGAATGATGTCCTTTAACCAGTCCAATGGTGCTTTTTCCAATACCACCCGTGGACCAATCAGCATACACTTCCCCATTCTAAGCTCATAAAGAACCCAGGACTCAGCCTCACAGATGGCTAACCCGCTTTCAGGTCCCTTCTGGCAGCTGAGAGTTTTCCTTCTGTCATTCAAAATTCTTTGCCTTATTTACTTTCTGGTGTTGACATATCTTATTCCTTTGTTGCAGGACAAGAACTTGGAAGTTGCTGAGCTGCGGATGGCGGGAGTAAAAAACTTGTAACCTTCCCTCCTGCTCCCCGAACAATGTAAGAGAAGAAACCGTTGAACACTACTCCCTCCTGTTAGCCCAACTGCGAGAGCGAAGTCCCTGGCTTACCCACCGAGCTAGTTGTGGGAGGTGGGAGTAAAAGAGCTGTAACCTTCTCTCTCACTCGAGGAACTACCCTCCTGCTTGCCAAATTACAGAGGCGAAAAAGCCACATATCAGAGGAGACTTCAGGGTATGTTTATATCTATATTATAGGATTTTTAAAAGATTAAATGAAGTAGCATTTCTGAAATGTCTGGAACATAATGTTTGAAATAGAATAGAATATCAATAAATGGTGCTGCTGTCATTATAGTTGAATTCATAGAGAAAATCAAGCGCTTGTGCGCATACACACACATACACAAACAAAATCCTAAAGACTATAAAGTTCTTATAGAAATAACATTAAAAATGTTTTTTTTGTTTGTTTTTAAAGTGAGGCCTTAATATAAAAAGTATATCCTGTAGCATTTTTAAAACTAATAATTTTATATTATTATTGAATATATCTAACCTCTTGACCATTTTTCATTGGCAGAAAATTAAGCCTGATAGTCTCTCTAAACAACTTTGTGCACATATAAATAAAGGAGGAGGTACTGCTTACACCTAAAACCTAATCTCAGATGAGTTATGGAATGAATGTAACTACTACTGAGCTAAACATTAAAAACAAATGTGTAACATTTCATAAAGACAATACGTGCAATATTTCATTTATACATAATGTTTATTATTTATGTGTGCATCTAATATCTAAATGTTATTCTCAGCTTTACCACAATATATAAGAGGGAATTCTTTCATCATATTGACGTTTTGGACAGTTTACCATAATCATACACAAAGATTCAGTAAACTAGATTATCAGAAAAAAGTAGTCATAGAATACAAAGTGGCATTAACTATTCAAGAGTATTTAACTTAACTAAATATATAAATAAATGTGTTCCTGATATGCCATTTCAAGGCAAGTTCAAGCCCCATACGAATGAGACAATAAGAGTTTTGTTTTGATATTTTAAAATTACCTTTTCCTGTAAAAGGGCCAGCTCCCTGGATTTAAAGAAGAAAATAATAGGAAAAGAAGGGCATTCTGCGAGTTCAACCTTCTCTTTCTTTTATTATTTGTTTTAACTTAATCAAAGTTGTTGTTGCTTTATATTTACACTGAGATGATTTTATGTTTCTTAAATCCTAATACAAGAGTTCGAAATTACTAGAATTTTTCCTAAATATGTCTTGGGAAAATGGCATTATATATATAGAAATCTTAAAAATAGTACTTCATTTGACAGTATATCTGAGGAAAAATAAGGTTTAGTGGTTATCTTATTTGGTTTTGTCATGCTACAACAGAATACCTGAGTCTAGGTAATGTATAATGAACAGAAACTTATTTACCGTGGTTCTGGAGGCTGGGAAGACCGAGATCAAAGTGTGGCATTTGGTGAGAGTCTTCCTGCTGCACCTTTACACATGGCGGAAGACAGAAAAGCAAGAGCGAAAAGGGGGACAAACTCATTCTTTTGTAACAGCATTAATTCCACCCATAAAGCCAGAGCCCTCATGACCCAATCACCTCTGAAAGGTCTCATCTAATAACACTGTCACAATGTCAATTAAATTTCAACATGGGTTTTGGAGGAAACAAACATTCAAACCAAAGCAGTGGCTTTATGGAAGAAAATCCAATATAGAAATTCAGGAACAATACTACTTATTCCACTCTCCCTTAAGCAAAATGTAGTGTAAATACTATTTAATTCATTGTGCTTACCTGAAGACTAAATGTAATTGCTTACCTGAAGTCGCCCATTGATTTACCCCTTACAGTTAAATCTGGTGAAAATGAGCTTATAGAGATCCATGCTATGGTTTATAGGAAAAGTTGAAAAAGAAAAATATGTAGTCTGCCCACCCAACATTTTTTTCAACAACATCTCCTCAAAGGATGTAGCAAGAAATAATACAGTAAAGTCCATATTTCCATGGAGTAGGAAAAGACTTGACTAGAGTAATTATCAATATTGTTAGAAGAAAAGGTCAACATATATGCTAAATCTCTAAAAGATGTTATTGTTTTTATTAGACCCTACAGAGCTTAAAACAAATGTAAAAAGATCTCTCAGATGTACAAGTAACTTAAAATCTAGATCAGAATATGATGCACTTATATATTACAATATATTAAATAATAAACTAGCCAGACATTAAAAAATAGTGAGCTAAATGCCCACAGTTCAAGTAGTAAGACATTTGAGAAAGGGATAGTCGGCAAGATGAAAAAGCGATAAACTTAAATCCAAACACATGGCTCTTATTCCTACCTCTTACATTAAGTAGTTCTATGTATTAATTAAGATCCACATGTTTAGGCTTTTTTTTTCTTTTTTTTTTCTTTTGAGAGAGAGTCTCATTCTGTCGCCCAGGCTATAGTGCAGTGGCACAATCTCAGTTCACTGCAACCTCCACCTTCCAAGTTCAAGCGATTCTCCTGCCTCAGCCTCCTGAGTAGCTGGGATTACAGGCGCATAGCACCACACCCAGCTAATTTTTGTATTTTTAATAGAGACAGGGTTTCACCATGTTGGTCAGGCTGGCCTCGAACTCCTGACCTCATGATCCTCCCTCATCGGCCTCCCAAAGTACTGGGATTACAGGCATGAGCCACCATTCCCGGCCCATATTTAGGCTTTTTTAAGACTTCTTTTACAATTGCAAACACAGAAGACAAGTTTAATTATATTACATGACACTTCCAGGAAAAGTGAAAAATATTACCATTGATAGCATACAGTTCATAGAAACCATCATACAACCACTTCATTTACTAGAATTGACAGTTAATCTGATGATTTCTGATTTACCTAAATTAAAACTTTTTATGTTTATATGCAAGGCATATTCTGGGTTTAAGCTTGTAGGGTGAAAGTGTTACATATGTTGTGCTTCATATTGTTTTAAGTCCTCCAAGCTAGTTTTAATGTTATTTTCATGAAGTTTATGCTGTTGAACATTGAAAGAAGATGTTTAAATATTAGTTTAGGCCGGGCGCGGTGGCTCACGCCTGTAATTCCAGCACTTTGGGAGGCCGAGACGGGCGGATCACGAGGTCAGGAGATCGAGACCATCCTGGCTAACACGGTGAAACCCCGTCTCTACTAAAAAATACAAAAAACTAGCTGGGCGAGGTGGCGGGCGCCTATAGTCCCAGCTACTCGGGAGGCTGAGGCAGGAGAATGGCGTGAACCCGGGAGGCGGAGCTTACAGTGAGCTGAGATCCGGCCACCGCACTCCAGCCTGGGTGACAGAGCGAGACTCCGTCTCAAAAAAAAAAAAAAAAAAAAAAAAAAAAAATTAGTTTAAATTGGGGTCTTTTATATATTACACAGTATCCCCTCTTAGAAATTTCATAATTACCTTATGGATCATACAATTGCATAGTATTTTAAGAGTATAAATTCCAAATAAGTATTAAAATATGTTACTATTTTTATAAAATTGATATTTTTTTTACTTTTTTGAAATAAAAGTAAAATCATTGTAAATAGCCTTACTTCTGTTTTTTGTCTGTGGCGCACAATGTTTCAAAGTTAATTTATAAGTGTAGCTGGCATCAACTCAACAAAAAGAGTCAACCTCACAATGGTTTGTGTAATCGCTCCTATCAGGGAATTGAAGACTCCCTGGTATATATTCTTTGTATAATATTTATAGAGCTCTGGGAACTAAGGTTAAATTATAAATAAATTGAAGCATATTTTTATTTTTTAAAAATACATAATTTCATGAGTATATGTTGACTGTTTTTATACATTAATGTTCAGAGAAAATAATTCGAGTTTTGTTTCCTAAAAGCCCTAAGATTATGAAAAATAATTTACAACTTTTTAAAAGAGGATCAGCTATAGGGAATGCATAATAAAATGATTCATCATTCATGGTACTTGATATTTTGTTTTCATTGGGTACATTAAATTTAGCATAAAAAGATCAAGCAAAAAAAATATAAAGACTTTTTCAAACACCATTTGCCCCAGCAAGTGTTGGACTCTGTCAGTGAGTTATAGTGGCTGTTAACAACAGGGTTAAGTACAGAAATTTTTCTGCTTAAAAAACTTAGTTGTGCTCATTAAGGAAAAAAAAAAAAAAAGTTCAGCAGTGATATTATATTAAAAAGGAATTTCAGCATTGTTCATTGTTATAGTTGTCTGTTGTCATAGTCTGTTTTGTGCTGATCTAACAGAACACCACAGACTGGATAATTTATAATGAACAGAAATTTATTTCTCACAATTTTGGAGGCTTTGAAATCCAAGATAAGGAGCCAGCATCTTGCAAGGGCCTTTTTGCTGTGACATAACATGGCACAAGACACCATTTAGTAAAAGGACAAAGAGAGAGTGAGACAGAACAAGAAAACCAGGACAAAATTGTCTCTTTACAAGGAGCCTACTCCCACAATAACAAACCCATTCTCATTACATTGACATTAATTCATTCATGAGGGCAGAGCCCTTATGGCTTAATCACTTCAGAAAGTCCCATCTCTTAATTCTATTAAATGGATATTAAATTCCAACATGAGTTTGGGAGGGAACAAGAATTCAAATCATAGCATTTATCAAAACTAAAGCAAGCTGTTAGGAAATAAAATTCTTCAGTTTTGAACTAAGGGTCATGAGAACCAATCTAAAAAGACATAGTTACTTTATAGTCATAGGATCACTGGTTTTAATATTGATTTTATATAAGAATAGTTTTTAAAATCCTAAAACCAAGGTCATATTTATGTCTAACCAAATAAGAATCTCTGTTCATAGATACATTGGTTTCAGAACTCTTCAAAACTATCTGAGATCATCCTTATGTTCATCCAGACTGATAACCAATGATCTATAATGCCATCTTCTTTCTTAAAAAACAGTCTTATAGAGATACTTGAGGCTGTGTGGTCAGCAAAATACCATAAATATTCTCTTCATTATAGATGATCAACTAGATTTATTCTTAATCAAAAGTGCCTAACAGTCAGTTGGAGGTACATACTACTGCATAGTAAAATCAAACATTTCATGAAATATAAAGAGCTTCCAATTCAGCACAGAAACAGAAAAGACAAACTTCAGTTTGACATTGCTTAAGCCCAGTTCCTGGATATTCAGAGGATATATTCTGGAAATTTGGGGATGCAGAGACATAAGTCATTGTCATTTGGGCTTGCCTCATTCAGGTTCCCAAA